AGGTCCTGAATAGCTTCGGGTTGCCCTCTTTTATCCGTAGCAAGGTCGAGTTGCTGGACTGAAAAGGGCGCCCACATGGGGTGGTTGTTGGGGGCAGGAGAGAGAAGAGATTGCAGTGGGCAAGCGTTGACTAGCTTAGGGGTGCCCAGGTGCCCCTTTTTAATCCGTAGCACATCTCCTCACCTACCCATTGCCTCGCACATGAACCCCCCACCGCCGTCTCTGCTCACTGATTCGCAACACGCCGCCGGCAAGCGCACCTCACTTCCTGAGGGGTGCCCTTTTTCACATCCAAATGAACCGGGGCGAAAAAGGCCCCCCCCCCCCCGGACCTATGTCTTCTACTTTCCATTTCTACCCCTATCAGTGTGGCTGCGATGTCAACTTCGCCCCATGAAATAAAGCTTTGCCCGATGTTACCCCATCATTTCCTTTTGCACGCCAAGTCTTTGCCCGGGCCCACGTACCCTGAGAGCACCCCCTAAGCCAGAAGCTGGCTTTCGTCCCCTCCAATTTCAGGTATATATACATGTATACACACACAAGTCGTCTACCAGGTGCTGATTCCCAGCGCGGCTACCCATATTCATCCATTTTCTCATGCATGTTTTGGATGGATTTGGGAGGTGTTGCTTCCGTTTCGTGCACAAGTTCTATGTTCCAAATCACACCTGCACATGTTTTGGGTTGCGGATCATGGGAGCCTAGGAACTGGCGGATCACTCCGACTCGCAGGGAGGCTCAGATTCTGAAACGGATGGAACCATTGATTTACACTACTTTCTCATCACTTTAAAACAACACGTTTGCAGGTCTTGCTGTGTTTGAACGATTTTTTTTGGCCGTTTGGCTGTGATGCTGATGTACTCTCCGCAGCACACCTAGAAAGAAATTGGAACATCATTTACTGTAACATATCATAATCACCATGTAATGACAAAAAATTACAGAAGAACGATTTGGGAGGAAGCGCTGCTAGGATGGGAAACCATGAGAGCTTCCGTTCAATTCTCCTATGACACAGCTGGCATTGCAAGATGTCGAGAGCGAGGTTGATTCTTTTTGGCTAATGCATCGGATTTGAACCCAAAGCCCCAAAACCAAAGTTTGCCAAATCTGAGTTCAAACTCCATGTCTACAAGGCAACGCATAGCCGTCGACCACAGGATTTCTGGTTTAGATGAGCTGTGCCTGAGGCCAAAACGCCAGGCACTGTTTGAGAGACTGTCCGAGACAGGGAGTTCGTGCTTCATGAGTCATGAGCTGCACGGCGCACCTGAAGAACAGATCTACCACAACAACACCAAGGGAATCAGTCCTGTCGCTTTATCAGCTCAATGTTGGATCGACATAGATTAAAGACACGGGTTTCGCTGCGTCTGGCAGGAGTGGGCAATGCGGAGAGCCAACATCACCAATTCCACAGGCGCACAGCCCAAGTGAGGAGGTCGAGCAAGGTGCATGAGGCAGTCCTAGGTCCTACATTGGCAATTCTGTTGTTTTGTTACTTGAACCAGTTCTGGGAACATTCGCACACACAAACATAGTCCTGTCATGTCCTGTCCTTTTAGCATGGGTGCAATCTGAATGCTGTAGATGAGACGCGTCTGCTTATGGATGAAACGCTCCACTGCTTGCGGTCTTTTTTTTTTTTCGGCCAGCCCCGGTGTTTCGCCTTGTGACAAGGCAGTGTGTTGGACCTAGATGGTATTGCTGCCACGCTGGCCAGGGAACTTAGCAAGTGTCCGCACTTCCCACTGCAGACGTTCTCTTGTGAACACAAGGGCCATGATCCCAGGCCTATCGGTCTCTAGTCAACTCAAGGGTCAAGAAGATGGACTTTCAAGCTCAGCTTGAGAGGGCTTTCTCCGGGTCATATCTCAGCATTATGGTGAAAGCATGACAGGTTTGGGTGTTCAGGAACTGTTGAACCTTCCATGCCTAGTTTAAGGGTCGTCCTTCAAATGGTCTAGTTTCTGTCCTGTGTGTATTTTTCTTTTTAGAAATCAATGCATCTGCTTTCTAGCCTGGCATCGCATCTAAGGGCTTTGTCACTCAGGTTCAATCTCTGGCAGAGGCAGCCTATGCGGCCCCGTGAGTTGCTCAGACCATGACCTGTGTCATCATTCCTGTCATGCCAGCAACCATAAAGCTATCCAGCCAATTGATCCAACTTGCCTTCTGGGACAGCATACGTAACGTAAATGTTCCGTGTGTAGATACAAGTTACACGTATAACAGGCTTGCTACATATGGGCATTCTTGATAGAAGGGCCATTTTGTGTGTTTGCAGCTTGGCCAAACCCATTTTAGAAAGGGTAGAAAAGGGTATTCACATCACATCCCCACATGGTCGGGCCAAGGCCAACCTTGTGCCGCTTGGCGGCGGCCTTGAGGACCTTTGGAGACAAGGGTCAGGACCCTTTGAACGTCAAACATCTGCAAATATCAATGCGAGCTGGCATGCTGGAGACTCGTGCATGTTTGAAGAATGTGTTAGAAGAACGTGAATGTGCGTTCAAGCGACGTACACTTTCTTTCCACTCTTCGCAATATTGCTTAAATCTAAGTGTGCTGGAAGGACTTGCTGGGCAGGCTGCTATTCGTACACTGGTTGGTCTGAGCCTGAGCCTGAAGGTTTTTGTCATGTGGAAAACACATTGTTCACAGGAGGATTCCCATAGGAATGGACTTGTTTCGTGCTTTGGCCTGCAACAAATGGACACACGCACACAAAATCATATATAATCCTGCGCAGTTGAGCGAGGAAATTGGAGCCAGTGAGCAATTGCGCAAATCTGCTTGAGACAGCAACCTGTTTCAACGGTTGATGAACCACGCACACGTACCTAGGTGTACCTTGATATATACTCCACCCCATCATTTAATCGGAAGGGTCAGTTCTTTGAGGTGCCAGCCTTGTTGAAGCCAGCCCTGGGATTAGGCAAGGATGGTCTTCCCCCTGCCCCGAAGCTTGTGTCGGGCCAGCTTGCTGTGAATTCTGCAGTAAGTTTAAGCTTTAAACACATCCAAACACCAAACGTCAGGCAAGCAGACGAAGGATGGTTTGTTTATTTTACCTAGAAATGCCTTTGTTAACCTCAAAAAACCCTTTTCAACGTGGGCACATGGAGGTAACTGAGGTAACCTTAAATCGTGTGAGTGTGGCTCAAAGTCCCAACACACAAGTGTTGATCAATCTTTAGACAGCCAGGTATTTTCATCAGCCGGGTATTCTTTCACACCTACACAGTATTTTTTTTAAAAGAAATACATACAGTATTATATATAGATGCATATACAATATCAACTTTTGTGTATTTATACAAACATATTGTTGGGCCGACAAGGGCTTTCCTCGCAAGCAAGGTTGCTTGGTCACCTTCCTCAACCTCTGAGACTCTCCATGATTCTCCCCACCGTTTCTCAAATCGAATGCTCGAAATTCTTGTCGGCAGGCCTTGGGCTTGCAGAGGTCTTCCCGGTGCTTACGGCGGGAGACCTGAGCGATGGTGAGCCTTTCAAAAGCTTACGTAGTGGTTTCGATTCCCAGGACATTCTCCACATTCACAGATGCAACAAGGATAACAAGGATAAAGACTTCCTAGCAGGTTGCAACTCAGGTCATTAGGTCAGATTTCTCCCCTGCCGGAGGCAGCTGAAACAACGTACTCGCTCCGAAGCTTGGCGCAGTGGGGTGGCCCAATATTTGGGTGGCCAGCCATTTCCTCAAGAATGATTCAACTAATTGCCGTAAACTAGAAACATCATCATGGGTTCTCTTGTGGACAATGTTTGAGGGTGGGCAAGGCCAGAGAGTTTTGTATTTGTTTGGAACAGCAAAATCCGAACAACAATGTCAGCAAGAAAAGATATTAGCGACCTTTATGTTTGCACAGCCTGCAAACAAGGCTGCTGTTGCTGCAGTTGTTGTTGTTGTTGTTTTCTTTTTTCCAGGCTGCTAACCGCGGCTGTTGCCCACGAAGCAGGACCCAGAGCAATGTGATATTGTGAGCCTTCGTACAGCACCTTGCAAGCATATATACATATATGATATATGTATACTATATATGTATATACTAGTATGTTTCTTTAAAGTTGTCTTTGGGACAAACAATCGTGGTCCAAGTGTTTCAGCATTTTGTTTGCCTACTGCCCCTTGTGCTCCTTTATTGCCCAGTCACAAGCCAGAACCTGTGTAAAGTGAACTCGAAACAATGCAGCTATTTTCTTTTGTCCACAGTCGATTTCTCGATGTGCTGTGGTATTGCCTGGTTGCACGAACACAATATAGCCATCTTGTTCCATGTTAGATTTCAGTTGTGGTATTGTTCATGGCTTGACACTTGAGCTAGTGACAGGAGATGAGAACGACAGGAGTTCCCTCCGCAAGCTGTTAGGGGATCCCGGTCAACTTTGCCACTTATTTCACAAATTCTTGACCGACGGGCAGATGGGAATGATATGTTTGAATTGCTTCGACGAGAGTAGAGGGTGATAAGTCAGCCGAATGCAGATCAATCCCAGCGTTGTGTAGAGTGTAAAAGAGAGGCACTTTGGAAATCCTTGTTCTTTGGCTACTATGTTTGGTGATAAGGTTGGAAGCCGCTATTCGGTTGGAGACCATTGCTCTTAGGTTGGAGGCCACCGCTATTGAAATTCCTCTCACCCTTTTCCTTCGGCCGAAGGGAAGCCAATATTGCAAGCGTCGAAGTGAGGTTCCACTCCTTGGCTGAGCGAGGGGCTGCCCAAGCAGCGTCCAAGAGCGAGGAGACCCCAAATGACTGCAAAGACGCGAAAGAATCGTGAAATGATTAGATATCAAATCATGCTAAATATCATTTTCATTTTTTTCCACCGTTTCTGTATTATTTTTTACTTTCTCAAGCCACTTTTTCTTTGGACCTCTTGGACTTTAGACCATTCGTTTCTTTTCCTAATGCAGGAAACACCTGAACACATGGAGAACAATGAGACTAGGTATATGTATGACAATGTATGTGTATGCACTGTCCACATGGAAAGCTCGTGCTCGAAGCGCAGGCAGAGTTGCCTTGCTGCTGGGCTCCCAGCTGGATGAGGAGTAGGTATTAAGGGGGTACTCTAGGCAGTATCAACCTGGTCCAAAGTGAGTGGGCACGCAGCATGCATGGGCTGAATTTGGAGTACAATGATTCCAATGAGGTACAACAAGAAAGATGTGAAGTGTGTGTACCTTTTGGTCCGCGAATCCATGTGAGAGTGGAAGACTTGTGTGAATTCCCATGACGCTGAGGTGTGGTTTGTCGCACAAGTGAGCTGATCGCCCTCGGATCGAGCCGCACACTCAGAGGACACAACAACGCTTGCTTTGAAGATGTGAATTGTAGAAGCTGAACAGGTAATGACAGCAACGCTTGCTAGAATCTAGACCTCAACAACTTTGAAGCTAAGAACAACATGGTGGACACGATACCTGACGGCTATGAGTCAATGACTCGATGACCATGATTCTATAGTGTGGCTCCGACCATCCAATAATCATGCAATTTGTGAAAAAGAGGTCACATTCTTGGGAGTAAACAATGTTGAGTTCATGCCCAGATATTCCTTTGAAATTCTTTTCTCTCATGCGCCTGATACATTCCCCGCGCTTGTGATCTCAAATTTGAGGCCTTTCTGCCGCTGCAGAAGAAGTTGCAGAGATCCTGTCAATGAGTGCTGACCAGGTGCGGCTGCTGGGACGCAGGCGTGGCCTGAGTGCGAGGGGACCTGGTTGGATCTACGAATCTAGAAGTGAGTCAGGGGGGTGAATATGAGAAACACCACCGGCATTGGTATACATGTCCCAACACCTCCCAACCAATTCTGTTCCAATCATCAGGGCATGGTGATGAGGGGTCAAGACCAAACAAGGAAGCTGTCTTGCTGTTGTTACCCACTCGTGTGGCGAGTGGCACAAATTGATCCAGAAAATAGAAAGGTTACTCACACAATGTGATGGCCTTTTTTGCAGCATTCCATTGATTATCCGTGCGCGGCTTACTTCCCCTTCAGCAGGCCCTCAAGCCCGGGATCAGCGTCGGCTGTAGTGGGGCACCCGGACGAGAGTCGAGGCCGCGTGCGAAGTGGAAAGCAAAAATGATGCTATTGAAAACACATTCGATCACCAGGAGGCCATCGGTACTGTAGTAGGTTGGAGGCCATCGCTATAAGATTTGGTTTGACTGCTGTGTCTTGGTGAGCTGGAAGTCAAAAGGCCTCAAAGGCCCCACCAGACTTGCAAAGGTCCTTGAAAAGAACTGCAACTGAGCAGAACTGCGACTGCATGCTTAGGTTTGCTGGCTGAAGCGATGTAGAAGCCACGAGAAGCAAACTGATGACATCACTCCGAAGGCACAATTTGCCTCGACCTGCTGTGACCGCAAACTATATAGACCTTCTCTGATTGCAGTTTCAGCAGATGGCACGAACCCCGTGTCTTTTAGATTCGGCTCCGTGTGAACCACCTGTAGCCCCTTGTCAATCTTAAGACAGTGAAGCTTTTCACTGCTTTCAAGCGGTTCCAAGTCCTTGAGGGCGAGTTAAGTTTGTCAAATCCATGGCAGACTTGAAGACTCAAAGCTAACCTCCCGATGCTGTGAAGTTTTAAGAAACTCACCAATGTGCAATCGAGAAAAGATCCTAGCAATGATTGTGCATAGGCCACATGACCAAGTTGCCGTGGTGAGATGCCCGCAGCGCGGGGCCGCCAGGAGAAGCAGCAAAAACCACGCCTTAGTTACGAGGAGAGGAGAAAGTCCTTAGGCGGGAGTTTCTGCGGATGGGAGCTGGGTGAGGCTCTCGGGCAGTACAGGAACACCAGGACACTGTTTGGGTGGCCCAGGCGCCAAGCATTATTTTGCACTCACCCTCTCAGGGCTTATTTCGGCATCGCTTGACCAATGTGGCACTTCACGGCAACGTGACATAATCTTAAAGAGACAGATAGATAGAAATACATAGAGTGATTTGGCGGGATCGCTCATAGCGCCTTGCATTTAGGTACCCACACCCAGGAGGAAGCCCTGCTTCTGCTGCGCCAGTTGGGGCTCCACAGACAGCTAGCAGCTATTTCCAAGCTCATTTGAGAAGTTGAGAGATGATGGTTAGGAATCCACTTGGAGAGTTTGAACATGACTTTTAACACACACTCAATGAATGCAACGATTTATGATTGTGGTTAGGAAGGGATACGGTTCGCGAGTCCAGCAGGCGGTCAGGATAGGTCAGAACAAAAGATCTTTGGTGCTTGCTAGATCGTTTCAATTTTCAATACAAGCCCTGACTTAATGGGTGTGTCATTAAGAGCAAAACCCCAACCCTTTAGAACCAGAGCCAAGCAAGTGGAGCAATAAGAAGCACAGGCAACTCCCAAGCCATGCGTATCCACTATCCTGGATCAACCTGAAGATTGGACAGGGCAGCCATACACTTGCGTTTGTTTACTTCCTTCGGTAAACGCCCAAGGCTCCTGAGTGAGCCGCACCAGCTGTGCAGCCGATGCCTTGGGGTGGACCTATGTGATTTGTGAGTCTACAAGATCTACAAGAGAGGCGGAACGCCCACCATGAAGGCCATGCTTGCATTATAGACTCTATAGACTACATATTTGTTTGTTCCCGACGTTTAAACTTGTCATCGTGAGCAAGCTCAGGAAGACGCTCCCCCAGAAAATTGAATGATGCCGCACGATGTTTGTTTTCCCTACAGCTCTAGGTCATGGCATTGGCAAGGAACCCCAGACAGTGCTGGCCCGGTACTAGACCTCATAAGCACATGTTGTTGCCTCTTTGTGGCTGTGCTTCAGGGGCAACAAGCACTTGATCAGCACTTGAAGCAGCGCAGCTTCTGTTTGCAAGTTCATGGGCAACACAAGCGATTCTTCAGGTCAAGCAGGAAGTGCCCTGCTGGCGGCACTGGAAGCGGCGCGGAGAGGGGCAGAGTTACTTGGCGCAGACAGATTGACGCGCGAAAGAGGTCACACTCAAGATCATATATATCACGAAAGCTAGCATCAGCTAGCTGGAGTTGTCCTTGCTTTAGCAAGTGAGGGGCTGGAATCCTCGAGATCGCCGCATCACGTGAACACTTCATATGTAGAAGGCCCCCCCCCGCGGGTTCAACTCCTTTGGTTCAACTCCTCCGTGGAGGTTTTGGGATACGATGCAACAGATTCAACAGATTCACAAGCTAAGGTTGGCCGTGTCATTGCTGTCCGTGTGTCTTACATGTTCACAACGTTTTACCTCATGAGCGAGACCTTGTGAACCATCCCTCCAACAGCCCCATGCCTATGAACAAAAATGCCTCACTCCGCTTGATGTCCCACCAATCCTTTGTCACTGGACGGCTCTGTATGCTTCGCCTCCACTGACACGGATGCATCCCTGCTAGCTTTCGTCACCTACCCTCGGCCTCAAGTAAATATATATATTATATAATTGGGTCTGTATATATATATACATATATATATGTAAGAGGGCATCGTATCATCCAGCGTCCATGGCTGCCGTGGGCCCCAAGCCAGGTTGTCTCGCAAACTCAAAATCGACCTCCTTCAGGAGCCGAGTTATACAAGTGGGCTGGGCAGAAGATTTGCCTTGACCATGTAAAGATCGAGCTACTGGTGGAAGCATGTTAAAGCTGACTTCACAATCACCTTTTGCCGAATTACTGTAGTTTGTCCAACTTCTACGAACTCTATATGATGCAGGCTGCGGCTACTGCCGACATGTGATTCACGGTTGCAGCACTTATCGACTCATCCACCACATGCTCAAGCATTTGGATTGTTGCTACTCTAGTGACAATGTTCATCAGCTCAGACACTGACAAGCAGTCCATTCTTGTTTCAGATAGCCTGATATAGAACCCCCCCCAAAGCCACAAGTTCAAATAGGGACAACCGTTTCTCAAGTCATTCTGGACTACTGCTTGTATCAACAAAAGCTCGCACGTCCAGGAGGCGCTGCTCTGGCAAGAACCCAGCAGCTCAGAAAATGCTGCACCACTCACCATAAACGAGCAGGTGAGGAGACCACCAGTGGGAATGAATGGAGCATGTGCAGATACCAGTTGCCTTGTTATAATTTGAAGGCCCCTATGCAAATCCTTCCCCGTCCCATTCCGTGTTCCAAGATGTGGGTAGTATTGAACCAACTGTGACATTGCGACCGCATATGGGGCCACGCTGAATCTCTGGACTCAGTTGACCCAGTTGATCCAGTTGACCCAGTTGACCCAACAAGCTACCACTACCACTACCACCACCACCACGACGACTACTACTGCAATAACAACAACAACAACCACAACAACAACTACTACTACTACTACTACTACTACTACTACTACTACATCTACATCTACATCTACATCTACATCTACATCTACATCTACATCTACTACTGGTGCTTCTACTACTACCACTACAACGACTACGACTACGACTAGGACTACGACGACGACTACGACTATTACGACGACGACTTTGACTACATTACATGACGATGACTACCACTACATGACTACGACGACTATGCTACCACTGCCACTGCCACTGCCACGTACGGCTACTCCTACTACTACTACTGCTGCTACTACTACAACTACTACTATTACTACTTCTACTGCTACTCCTACTACTACTACCACCACCACCACTACTGCCACTACTACTACTACTACTACTACTACCACTACTACTACTACTACCACTACTACTACTACTACTACTACTACTACTACTACTACTACTACTAATAGCTACTACTAATAGCTACTACTAATAGCTACTACTAA